TATAAAAAATTAGTAGTTAGCAGAGTCCGAACCATAATAATGTGAATCATACCCTGGATCTGGTCACCACAAGGTCGAATCAAATAATAGAAACAATAAATAAATAATTAAATAATGGTTAAAGTGCAATAAAATAAAAATCAGTAGTTAGCAGAATCTGAACCATAATAAAGTGGATCATACCCCGGATCTGGTCACCACAAGGTCGAATCGAATAATATAAACAATAAATAAATAAATAAATAAAATGGTTAGATTGCAATAAAAATAAAAGTTAGTGGTTAATATGTAATAAATAATATAGCAGAATAGTGACCAAATTAAAAGTTAATGAAATCTGCATTTATATTCGGAATAAATAAAAAAAACCAGAGTGCAAAATGGCTAAAAACCGGAGGGCTCAAAGGTGATATTCCCCCTATAGTGACCAAAATGTAAAATTGCGTTAAAATTGAGACGACTAATGGGCGATTAGCCCCTAAAATAAGTGTCCAAAATGCAAAGTGAAGCCTAAAACTCGGGGACCTGTGGGTAGTTTACCCAAACATACAAAACAGAACATTCTCCCATTCCTTTCTTCTCTGCATGCACGACCGGTCGACGAGACCTCAAACCACACCAGCCACCGACACCGGTGGTCCTCACACGCCCTAACCAACGCTAAATCAACCCGTGAAACCGAACCGACTAAAAAAGAACCCAAAACCCCCTTGAACGAAACCCGAATGCCCTATATAGGCATCGTTCGTCACCTCCGACCACCGCCCATGGTTGTCGGGACGCTAAACTAAACCCAAGCAACAACGACTCCCCACAGGCGACGCAGAACCACGACCAAGGCCTACACTCTCACCACCTTTACGTAATGAGGATAAAAAAAAAAATGAAAGAAAGCAAGATCCTGTAGGAGAGAACCAGACCCCTTCTTTATTTACCATTTTTAAACTTATAAAACTGGGGACATGGGCTTACCAAAAAGAGGGAGAGAATAGTTACCAACAATCGGTAGGGGTGTTCATTTTTACGAATTAACCGAATTAACCGATTGAACTGAATTAGTTTGGTTAATTCGGTCGGCCTCCGAATTAGTTCGGTCAGTTAACGGTTAAGAAAATTTTTAGAATTCGGTTAACGGTTAATTCAGTTCGAAATAGGTTAATTAACCGAAATTAAATTTTAAATATTAAATATATTATATATAACATATGGGCTCAGCTAAAACCATTTAAAATATAATTAATAATTTAAGATCCAATAACTTTTAAACCTAAATCAATATTAATTAATTTAAAAATTTATATAAAATGTTTATTTTATAATTATATATTATTTAAATTAATTGTAAACTTTTTTTTTGAATTAAAAATATTTATTTTTTATATAAATTAGAAAATAATTAATTGTGTATCTATGATGTAAAGAGGGATGAATTTATAACATGACTTAAGAATAGGGAAATACATTAAAATGTAAAACATAAAGGAATTAAAGTATAAAAGTACCGAGGCTGGAAGATTATGCAAGATCAATGACCATTAGCTTTCAATTTTGCATATTTTGCATTTGACCCTATCTGTGATAATCATTTTACCTTAGGAACCAACCAAATACAGGTTTGATAACAAAGATCAACACTTCTTGTTTAGTTGATCATGAACAATTTCAAAATCTATTTTTGCACATGTTCGTGTTTTAGGCAAAAGTTGAAGTGAAACTTGAAATTTCCAGGCATAACAACTCCTAATCAATTCAAGGAAGTGTATTGCTATGTTGATGATACTCTCAGTCTCATCATCAAAGCATTATCGTTCAAAAACACTAATTGACATAAAGTGGGGAACTATTGGAGCTGAAGTATGAATATGTAAAAGCTAATTCTAAGCATATCTCTATGAAATAGCTCCAAGTAAAAGACTATATCATATATTTGGATTAAAAATTTGACCTAAATTAATATTAATTAATTAAAAAATTTATATAAAATTTTTATTTTATAATTATATATTATTTAAATTAATTGTAAACTATTTTTTAAAATATTTAACTTTTATATAAATTAGAAAATTTTAAAAAATTTCGGTTAATTAAAAAAGTAACCGAATTAACCAAAATTTATTCGGTTCGGTTAATATTTTCGAAAAAAAAGTTCGGTTCGATTAACGGTTAAGGAAAGAAAAGTTCGATTAATTCGTTAATGGTAATTCGGTTCAGTCGGCCACCGAATTAACTGAATGAACAACCCTAGCAATAGGGGCTTCCTAAAAATGTTGGGGGAGGGGTGAAATATATTTTTGGATTAGCTTTTAAAGCCCCCAAATTACAATAGGTAATATTACAAGTTTGGTACCTGCACTTTGTTCCCTCTCTAATTTTTTTGGAAAATGGTACAATTGTAATTTTGGTCCTTGCACTTTGTTCCCTCTTTAATTCCCGGACAAAATTAGGGTATTAAAATTAAATTGATTTTTTTAATTCAATGACCAAAATAAGAATGATCAGTATAATTTACCCAACACAAGAGCATTTCAGATTGTTGAGTGATGAACAATATAATTTACCTAAAAAATAAACTATATCTATATTTAGCCCAAATTACAACAAGACTATTGGATATACCAATTACCCAAAAACGACCAAATTTTAAAAGTTATATGTCCAAGGCCCAAATGGCAAAAAAAATAAAGAAAATAAAAACTCAACATAAAAATTAATTTGAATAAACCATAAGTCAAATTGAATCAGACTAGAAAGAATCTAATGTCTATAAAATGTATATAACTAAATCAAATTTAAGAAAATCAAAACAGTACCTAGCACAATTGTTCAAATAGTTGAATGATGAGTCAGGTGAGAAAGTACGCTAGAGCAAATTGCGTAAGGTTGATTGTCTTCAACTTGCCAGAGCTTCTGCACCAAGGGCTTTGGCTTATTTTCGACAATCATGGAGAAGTTGTAGATTCTTTCATCCCCAAGAAGAGAAGAAAGGGGGGGTAGGAGGTTCGGATTTGTTCGATATGGAGGATGCGAAAAGAGCTATCGACTGTCTTGATGGCTCTTGTATTCAAGGTAACAAAGTACGAGTCTTCATGGCCAGATTTCAAACGCAAGAAGCGTTTTGGAGAAAGAAATCCATCGGACAACAGTAAAATTAGGTCATGAGTAGGAAGGAGACTGTCCTTCACTCGAAGATCCTCTATAAAGGAGCAATTGACTACAAAAAATTACTAGTTCTTAATCATAGTCTTGTTGGATGGTGCCCAAAATTCACCAAGATAAAAGATATGGCAACTTGGATACACAACGAAAGTATTATAGGGCCGAAAATTATGAGGTTGAGTGGCTTAGCTATCTTAATCATCTTCGAAGATGAAAAAAGCAGGGACACCACTCTAAAAAAATCAGATCAAAGCGATGGAAAATTGCTTTGAGAAGGTTGAAGTTTGGTCTGAACAGCTACATTGTAGAAGTCGCCGTGCATGGCTCTCGTGTAAAGGGATTCCACCGTTGTGGAACCATATGACTTTTCGTAACATTGCTAAGAGATGGGGTAAGCTCATTTCTGTTGAGGAAAGGATGTTGAACCCCGGTTCTTTCGATAGGGTATTAATTCAAATTGTTACGGATGGCCAAAACTGGGTGGAAGAAAGCTATGAACTGAGTGTGGGGGAGCGACTATTTTCAGTTTGTGTATCCGAATTTGAGCCTTGCTTTAATCCGAATTCCGTTTATGTAGAGCCATCGCCGATTGAGGGAATGGAGGACACTTTGACACCGTTTGTTCATGAAACTAGGGCCACGCTGTCACCATCAAATGATGCCAAATCGTTTTGCAGCCAGGATGGGGTTTCTTCATTGCTGGAGTTGAATCGTCAATGTGAATCTGCCCTTCCTAGAACCTCTTTTGTTGAGGTTGATGGAACAGCCGTCTTGGATATCTCAACCACGTGTTGCATGCCCGAGGTGAACCAGCTGGGAAATACGCATGATATCATGGGATAACTGCATGGAAAAAGCAGCTTTCCATTTAAGCACGCAATTGAAAATGAAGGTGTATTTTTGTTGATAAAGGCAGTGGGGCCTTGAAGGAGTTATCATCTAAGTTTGCTGTAGTGGAGGCGAGTATTCTTGAAGCGGGAGAGAGGCTGGTAAACGAGGATAAGTCTGATATAGATATTTCAGGGGACCAAATTGAGGCGAGGCCCTTGGGGTTTGTTTCGTGGGAGGAATCCGTGGATAAGTTAAACAATATTCCAATATTAAGAGAAAGGGTTGAAAGGGCTGTCACAAAGGATCAACACGATGTGGATTTAGTACTAAATATCAAAAGGTATTCAAGAGCGTTGCTAGAAAACCAAAAAAGAAAATCAGAACAATGGCGGAGATCCAATGTAGTGTTTTGAAAAAATCAGTAAGAAAAAAGCGTGCTATTAAAAAGAAGAAGCAAGAGATTGCTTTGGAGGCCTCAGAATTAGAATGAAGGTCATTGTTGGACTTGAATATGCAACCTAGACAGATCTTTCTGGTTAAAGAAGCCAAAAAATCCTTGGAGCAGGTAAAGAATTGGATTCAGTTTCTAGGGCCCGAAGAAGAGGTGGTTCGAGAATTAGCTTTACTATAGAAGATTCGGATAGTGCTTCTCAGGAGTTCTAGAAACTGTAGCGAGTAGGTGGGTGGTGACATATTGGATCTTATTTTTGAGGAATCTCTGGTGGGTTTGGCATTCACTCTTAGCGTCAGATCAGTCGAGAGTTATATACTTTCTTGGGATCATATTTCGGAAGATAATTGAACCTGTTTTGGGATTTCAATTGTCGCTTAGCCGGTAATGGTGATGCTTGATAGGGTGTTATATATTGATTTTCTCATTTGGAGGATGTTGTGGTTAGATTGGACTCTCCAGCAGTTGCTTGTGGCTGATCAAATATTTCAAGTGGTTGTAAAAGGTAAATTTTCGAGTATATATTCTGAAGAATGGGGTATGCCCTATTGGTTACGTATACACTATTTTTGTCCGGATCCAAAAAAAATATTAAGATTATTATTATTATTATTATTACATATTTACATTATTTTTCAGGGCTAATTTCACACAACCGAGACCCACTCTGCAACCCAACTGGGATCCGACCCAACACCAAACCCGGATCCAGACCCGACCTAGTCCAGCCCCGGCCTATGCCCATACCCTGCTGCCTGCACACCAACACGCCCTGCTAGCAGCTGCTGCTGCCATCCCGTGCCATACTCCACGACAGAAAACAAGGTCGCCCTCTCCTCCAAATGATGGCACCACCGAACGTGTCAAAGGAGAAATCAACAAATTTAATTTTTCTGTTCTATAATTTTGTAAAGGGTATATAACCCAAATGAACCGAAAAGCAATGGAAGCAAAAAAACAACAAATTGTTTTACCAGAAATTAAAAGGAACCGAAAATTGCAACACAAAGGTATCTAAGCCTATGTTTCTTCCTTTTTTTTTTTCGTGTTTGAGCATGAAGTATTATCGATTTCTAGTAAAAGAAAATAAATAAGGATTTAGAATTACCTCGATGTCGGTTCTCGTCGGAATAACAAGGTTGTCGGAGAGAAGTTGAGGGGGGCGGAGTTGATTTGGGGTCGAATGGCCACCGCATGTGGTGGTCATTCGTTTTTGAATTCCCGAGCGATGAGGAAAATAACGTGGGTCTCGTTGATATTTTGGGGCTGCCTTCGTGATATTCCCCATACGTTGTAGGTCCCGGCCGGAGTAGAATGGACACCCATATAGGGTGGCCGAGGCGTAGGTGTCTGCTCGTCGGAGGGTCGGCTGCCATGGCCACCGCGTGCGTGAAGAGGAGCGAATGAATGAAGGCTAGGGATTTGGAGAGAGTTATCGGGTAGAATGGAATTTGGGGGGAAAAGAATGGAGTTATTTTGGGTTTTTTGGAAAATCACGCTAAGGTCTCTAGACCTTTAGCGTGTTTTTGCGTTTCTGTCATCAATCCGTGGGATTATTAGCCATAGGTCCTTTAGCTTTAGTAATCTATTTGCATTTTGGTAACAAGTTTATGGGATAATTATGGTTTGGTCATTGTCTTTAGCTTAGGTAGCATTCTGGTCGTCTCTTGCAGGGGAAATCATTTTTAGGTCCCCAATCTTAGCAATGTTCTCATGTTTTAGTCACTAGACCTGTCGTTGGTATTTCTTTGATTTAAGTATGTTATTTCAATTTTATTTTAGTTTAGTCACATTCTGATATGCCATTTATTAGAATATAGCTAATGAACTTTACTTTATTTTATTGTAGTCACTAATGGAATTTATTTTCTTGTGATTTGGGAATGTAATTATTATTTTTATTTATTTTGGTCCTTGCTGCTGCCATGTATGTGATTATATTATTGCTCTTTAGTATATGTGTTTCCTATTTTAATTAATTTTAATTTCCAGTAAAATATGTTTTTTATTTTATTCATTCATTTTATTTTAATGCCTATATTTCAGAATAGATATTTATGCACATATAGAATTATATACTTTTTTACGATTTTTTATGTTTACATTAATACTATGTACTTTATCTTTTGTTATTTTATCACTTTACAAGGCATGTTTTAAATCTATGAGAACTTTGGTTTGTCCTGTTTGTAAATCAGATTTTTTATCCCTTGCATTTTCTACGTGTATATATACGTTATATTACTATAAAGTATTTGCTATAGTTTTAAGTAGATACATGTATGTAATAAATATATTCTATATACTACACGTATGTTCCCTTTTGCATTGGTATTTATTTTAATTTCTTTTATAATTAATTATTTATTGATTTATAAAATACTCATTTTTTCTTCAATAATATTTTAAATACTATTCTAATATTTTCAAGAACACCGATTTGTATAATGGGCATGAAAAGCATTGCTTGATCGAAACAGTGCGATCCGATACGACATTCGAACGAAATGTGAACTTGAAATAAGTCGAGTTTATTTCACAAATTAATTCGTTTATTCTTTATTTATTCAAATGATGCAACACACGATAAAGTAAATAGCAATTTATTTTGGTTGTATGCAAAATGTCGATCTTTTTAATTTATATTCGATTCACATTTTTTTTATCAATAAGGATGTAATATTCTTTAACAAATGAAAAATAATTGAAATAGATTTTCCGATGGAGGATTGTAAATTTTAATAATTTTTTATCGTGTGAAAGGATTTTTTTGTAAATAATTAACTTGAAGTAAATTAATTACATTTCAATAAACAAATCATATTTTAAATATATATTCGATTTTTAATTTTCACCATTTACGATAAAGTGTAAGTGACACAGTACCAATTTTGGGTGTTGTGGGGTGCTAATCATTCCTCATGCGTAACCGACTCCCGAACCCGTTTAAAATGAATATTTGGTAACGCAGACTGAATTTTGTCTTGAAAAAACGATTTTTCTTAAAATTATTTTTTAAAAGACGTTTTTAAGGGTTCGACCTATCTAACCCAAAGGTCGATGCTACTCTTTTTCCATTTTATTCAAATCAATTCAAAACCGACCAATTTTTCAAATTAAAGTCATAATCGTTTTTTAAAATAATATTTTAATTGTTTTAAAAAAATGGTTATGAGATCTTGGTGACTCTGCTGGAGACTTTTTTAGAGAGACAGGTTGTAAGTCGCTTACACATTGTCGTTGTGGTGGAAATTATGAGTTCGAGTCTTTAGTTAACTTATGATTCGTTTATTGAAGTTTTTAATTGCTTCATTTTTTGTCATACTAACATTTGAATTTTTACTTTCAGATCTGTCCAAGTTTTTGTTGAGTTTTTTTCTTTTCCTTTTGAGTCAAAGGTAGATATGTTACTCCTCACACACGTCACATACATTTTCATAACATAAGCTCTAGACACGAGCTTCGATTTAAATTAGTCAGAGTGATTGCTTTACTCTCGTAAGAATTTATTCTTCGTATGAGTTTTAGCAAATAACCCATGGGATACATACCGTATATCTTCGTAGGGATTTATTCCTCGTATGGGTATAAGGCAGTGAATCCCCTCGAATTGAACTCGTTCTGTTCGAAACCTGTAATGGGTGAGGATCAAGGGTTTGGCAGCCCAAGGAGTCACCGACATCAAGGACAATTCGTGTACCCTTTCCTCATAGAGCCGAAGCCATGCATATAGTGAACTGTAGAACGGTCACCCTTGGTATAGTTATACCGAACCTCTGTCCGTCAGTAGGTAACCAAACTAGGTGTACACAAAGGAGGAGTGTTTCTAAACCCTTATCTTCTGCTTCAAGTTCATAGAATTTGTTTTTTTTTCCGAATAAAAGCATACAAACTATATAGCATGACCAATTTCTTGAAAATAGATCATTGTGGGTAGAAAGCATGTCCGAATAGGATTGCTATCTATTGAATTGCTATCTATTGAAAGCATGTTCGGGTAGATATCATGACGAGGATGGTGTTATATTCATCTCTGAATAACATTTTTATCTATATCAATTATTTTACATGTACTAACTCATTTTTCTCTTTTGTTTGTGTACACTAACTTATTTATTTTGTTTGTATCATTTTTCATCCTTCTTTGCATTGCATTGCATCGTCATGACATAATGCGAAAATGTTGATCCGCAAAAAGATATTCAAGAGAAAATTTTCACAAGAAGAGATAAAAATTTTCAATCAAGCAGTCGCATACACAAACATGCATCGAGGGCTTAAAGATTGTGCAACATTTGAGACTGAAATGATGATCCACTGATTCGATAAGTAATCCAGCAGTGGAGTATTTTCTACAATCATGTCATCATTAGTCATCAATGAGAGACCCAATTGCTTCAAAATAGTCAAGGCATTAACGGAGTTAGTTTACAGAGCATTGGGGGGCATCAGTTCCAAATACAAAGATCCAAGACGAAGCAGTGAGCTCAAAGATCGTGCAACATTCGAGACTGAAATGATGATCCACTGATCCGAGGAGTAATCCAACAGTAGATTTTTATCTACGATCATTTCATAGCTAACCATCAAGGAGTGATGCACTGACCTCAGCACCGTTGGGGCATTAATGGAGTTAGTTTATAGAACGCTTGAGGAGCATCATCTTTGAGGAAAAAGATACGAGACGAAGCGGTGATCCACTTCAGACTCAACCATCTAAGTGAAAGCATGTATGTAAAGTGGACTGTCTTGTAATGTGAAAGCTTTTATTTCTGGTAAAAATTATTCTAAGATATTCATCGTTGGGATCAACATGTTTGCATCTGCATTTGTATCTTCGCATTTTGCATCTTTATTTCATTTTAAGCATTTTTGCATGCATCATTCATAAAAACATGGAATTAATCTGTGGAGGATTCGATGAAGTGGTCCTAACTACATTGACAATTAAGAGAGAAAGCTGAAATCAATACAGTGGGAGCTTGTTCAACTGGTTGTATGGTTGAGCCTTCCAGGATGATTTGAATAAAGAGTCCCCGTTCTCTAAGGTCTATGATGTTGATATCGTATGCAACTACGACATAGGAAGCTACAGACATTATGCTAAAAAATGTAAGGCACTGAAGCGTAAGATCCAGAACCTGATGGATTCAGGGGCATGGATAATCAAAGATGGATGGGGCACTACATCTACCTTTTGCATCCAAAGAGATTATTTTGTTTGAACTCGTTTTTGTTCTGACTTTAATATGTGCTTAAATGTTTTTAATCTTAATGATTAAACTAATGCTACCTTCTAAGGTTGAATAATTGAACGAGTTTTAATCTTTAGTTCTTCGAATATCAAATGAATTACATATTCTTTTACTTCTCCAAGAATTATGAATTTTTGACATATGGCAAGATTATACCTTTCTTATCCTGTCTAAAACCATAAATAAAATCCCTCGATTCTTTACTCGAAATAATTCCTGGTCACTACCGAATAACCAAATTTTAACATTCTATCTCTTTGAGACCTTGAAACATTGAGTGCAAGATGTTCACTTGAACATGAGCCTTCTTCTAAGAAGACAACGTGAGACATCTCGCATCAATTTTCTGAAGTTGAACTGGTACAATTGAGACATGCTGGGAGCAAGAAACAGAAAAAGAGAAAATTAATTCAAAATAATTCTATCATTCATTAATTACATTTTTTATGTGAATAAAAATTAATCCTGAAAATCTATCCCCCTGGGGATACCTCTTCTGCAATTACTTCTATGTATGAGATGATAAACGACTTTATTTCTTTATCCCTTCACAACATGAGAAAATATATCCCTTATGTCCCCTTTGAGACTGAATTTTATTTTCTTCTGATTCAACCCTAACCAAGGATCACCCTCCACACTAGGGGCCAAGGTAGAGTAAATCTACTCGCATGAGTGAAGACATTGATTTTGATGGGATAAAGAAAGGTGAACCGAATACAAAGTGTGAAGATCAAATCAAAACAAAGAGAAAAGAAGCCAAGGAAAAAATATAAAGAACAAAAAGAAAAAAAACAAAGAGAAAAGAAGAAAAAAAGAGAAAAACGCAAAGAAAACAAAGAAAAAAAACAAAAGAAAAACAAAGAAAAAGATTGGACAAGAAACACCTGTAAAGAGTCCCTTGACCCAAGTGACGCATTGAGGTTCAAACTATGAGATTGTTCAAGTACCATCACTCTAGAATCACTTCACTCGAAGATTATAGAACATCAAGAGAAATATGCATACGAGCAGATCCAAATTAACCGATACAAGATTGAAGGCATCAAAACAAATTGATCCTTGGTTCAATCACTCCTAAACACTTGTTTGGGCCTTTTATCTATTTATTTCATAACAGTGAACCATGACCTGCATTACGTGCCTAAAAAGTCCCTTCTAATCATACATGGATTTCTAAACAGAAGATATTATCTTCAGATTTCATCCCACCCATCAAG